AAGCAGAGCCAACAAAGACCTCAGCTCTGTGGTGGACAGTGCATGTAACTCACCAATATTCATTCTCTATGGTAAGTCCCAAGCCCTCTAATGACAATAATCACTCAGGGTACTTGTTAAAAATTCAAATTCCCAGGCCCCTTCCCGGATCCACTGAATTATAATCTCCAGCAGGAAGGCCAGATGCTATATTATTTTTAGAAAGAACTGCAGGTCTTCCTTTGTCATCAGGGAAGTCTGGGAAACAGGGATCTGAGCCAATAAATCCCTAGCAACCATCATGTTCAAAACTCTGCATAAAGGGTAGGATATACAGTCTATGGTTGAGCGAGAGTTTCTCTCTCTGCTGGCTTGAGCAAGGAATCTGGTAGCCCAGATTGCCTCTGGTGGTAAAGTTGCAACCACAGTGGAATCAGCCTTAGGAGGAAGCCAAAGCCAAGGACAACAGAGAGGAGTGACAGAAACTGGTCCTTGACAGCACCGAGAAGCATCTAACTGTAATGTGAAAAGGAAGTCCTTCCCCTGGATTCTCAGTTAGAAGAAAGAATACATTTTCTTATGGTTTAAGCCAATCTGAGTTGGTGTTCCATTTGTGGCAACCACAGGGATATAGTTCTTTAAAAAGCTTCAGAAATGTCTACCAATATTAATAAGAAATAAAATGAATTCAAAATGTTATATGTGTATGTGTGTGTGTATATATATATATATGTGTGTGTCATGTATGTGTGTATACATATACACATATGTATATGTATATCAAATGATCCAAATTTTGTTTAAAAGTTATATACAGCCAGGCATGGTGGCTCACACCTGTAATCTCAGCACTTTGGAAGGCTGACGTGGGCAGATCACCTGAGGTCGGGAGTTCAGGAGGACCAGCCTGACCAACATGGAGAAATCCCATCTCTACTAAAAATACAAAATTAGCCAGGTACGGTGGCACATGCCTGTAATTCCAGCTACTTGGGAGGCTGAGGCAAGAGAATCGTTTGAACCCAGGAGGCAAAGGTTGCAGTAAGCCAAGATCATGCCATTGCACTCTAGCCTGGGCAACAAGAGTGAAACTCCATCTCAACAAAAAAAAAGGTTATATATATAAATCTCTGAAGAAATTATACCAAAATATCACTAGCAATTACATCTGGCTGATAGAATTATAAAAGTCTTTTTCATTTTCTTCCTTGTGTTTCTCTGCACTTTTTGATAATTAATATGTGTCCATGAGATACATAAGCTATTTTTAAATCTCTGCTGTTACATCTTTGCCCATAAAACAATTTCATCATTTAAAAATACTATATTAACATTATAATGTGAATATCTTTTGACCCCAATATTTCCTTAAAATTTATCTAAGGAAAAATGAGATATCTCCATAAACGTATGTTCTTTGATATACAGTCATCCCTCAGTATCCATGGCGAATTGGTTCCAGGACACCCCTCTGATATCAAATCCACGGATGATCAAGCTCCTTATAAAAGACAGTGTAGCATTTGCACACAGCCTACATACATCTTCTCAAACAGCTTAAATAATCTCTAGACTATTTATAATGCCTAATAAATGTAAATGTTATGTAAATAGTTGTTATACCATATTGTTTAGGGAATAATGACAAGAAAAACAAAGTTGTTTCTAGCTCAGTACAAACACGATCTTTTTTTCTGAATATTTTTGATCTGGTTGAACCCACAGATAATAGAACCCCTGGATAGAGGGCTTACTGTATGTGTCTACGTGTATATTGACCTACAGAGTACTGTTTAAATGTAGCAAAAAACATCCATTGATTGAGGATTAGTAAAATAAACTACTGTACTTCTATATGATGGAATCTTCTGTAGTCATTAAAAACATTTGCAGGTAAGGAAAGATCTTCATTATCTACTGTTAAATGAAGAAAGGTAAATGGAACAGGAAATTTACATTTTTAATTAACATGTAGAAGAAGTAACACATGAAAAAACTAAGTTATCTCTAGGCAGTGGGACTTTAAGTTATTTTATTTTCTGTTTTTGTGCTTTTTCATATTTTTCTGAATTGGAAGAATAATCATGTACTATTTTATGATAGGAAAGAAAGCAAGGTTTTTATATATTTAAACTTTGTAACACAGGCATTAGGCAAGATAATCACTATTGCTAAAAGGGGAATCTCCTAGTTATTTTTTGAAAGAGTTCAAAAATTAGATCATTTAAAAATCATTGAGCAATGAGCTGTCTATAAGTTTTTAGAATATTTAACTGAAAATATATACCACTTAATCTTCCAACAAGAATTTAAAATCAAGTGTTTTCCAATACATACGGGTTTCATATTTACCATATGAAACCAACCCTGTCTCAAAATAGTGACTAGAGTAACTAATGAGCTATAATTCTTAGAAAAGTATTGTATCACTACAGCCACATCTTTCTTCATTGTATACTTGAGATACCTGTATAATGAACTTAATAAATTATAAAGAAAAATTGAGTTTTTGTATTTTTCTAATATAAGCAATAGCCATATTCCGGCTGTCTATTCTGTTACTCTAGCTGTCTATTCTGTATACAACCTAAAAAATGACATCAACATACTAAATTTCTCAGTAGTTCACCCACCAAATTTCAAATTACCTTTAGGTCAAATACATGTATTCCATTTCAATATTACTGTCCACTGCAATGAAAACTTGAACTACCTGCTTTCTACGGGCTTGGAGGTCTTGAGAAAACTTCACATTAACAAACAGTAAAAATGAAATGACAGGATCAATGGCATGCTTAACTCTCGATATCCTTGGTATGTGTCCTGGTTATTTAGGAAACACCTTATTTTCTCATTTCAGCAGGACAGCTTTTTATCAGTATATCACTTTAACTCCAGATAAAAACTATTAGCCACATTTTATGGACCATTCGTTACTCTGAAAAGTCACATTCTTCCAACTTTGAATGTTTGCTTTTTTTCCTTTTTTGATCAAAATTCAAGATTAACAGTAGTATTAGTCCTCCAGTACCCTCAGCTGATAATAAATAACTACATTTTTCAACCTCAAAAATTATTAAAACACATATTAACAGTACTCAACCAACATTTAATAAAATCCAGTATCTAGTTTCTTCTGAAATGAAGCATTTTAATCAAACTTCTCTTTAAAGACAATCTAGCAAAATGTGATATGTCAGCATCAGAGAAATACACAGTGTACATAATCAAGTACTTTCACTCACGGGCTCAAAAATTATCAGAAAAATATATGCAACTCTATCTTAACATCAAATGCAGGAAGCATAAATAATGCAATAATAATAATTCATGTGTTGTTAGTCAGGTGAAGTGTCAGTCAGCTTTATTTGCTTCTATCTATTCAAGGTAAGGCAACCCCCCTACTCAGCCTGCTATTTTACTCTCTTCAGATTCGCAAACATCTTTGTTCATGCCCTAACTAGTGCCTAAAAGCATTCTGAACAGAAATAGGACATGGTAAAGCAACACATTAGAAACTCAGGTTAGAGAGAACTCTGGTCCCATTGTCAATCCACCCAAGAAAACAGAGCTGTGAGTTGTTAGTTTAATTATTTGGGATTTTTAAAATTATTTCTGCTGTACTGAGGCTGGGTCCTCAATTTTTTTTTTTTTTTTTTGCTGAGTAATATATTTTCACTTTGCGTTAACTTTTAAAAAGTGGAAACATTTTTCAGTGGAAAGAGCTTATAGACCAGCAGCAATGTGCGACTTCAATCTATAAAATTTAAAGAAAGCATAAATTTTAAGTAAAGCATTATATGCCCCTGAAACAAAATGCTTTTACCTTAATATCAGTCACTCACCTTGTGTCAAATCCTCTAACAATTGCACCCATCGATTTTGCTGCACCTGCAGAAGCAAGCCCAGCAACACCACCACCAACTATCAGAATCTAGAAAAGAAGACAGAGCCAGTTATGTGTTAAGGCTCATTATCAACTCATACTGAAAAACCATCTGCTAACAATTATTGGTGCATAGTATAAGTTTAGCATCAATAAATGGCAGTGCTGACGGTGATGACGATGATCAGCCCTTAATAACTGGATGGAGTAGATAGACTATTTTTTAACTAAACCACTGCTGATCTTAAAATTTTATTAAAGAAACAACTGCCAGCAAAGACCAACAACCTTCACTAAAAACAGCCTAATAATCAGCATATCCATGTAAAATCTACCTAAGCATGATCAGCATTATGTATGTTGAAGATTAACAGATTCTTTTCCACTGTCTGAAAGTTTCTTCTACTAAAAGTTCCAGCGTGGCATTCTACCTACCTTTACCCTATCAAATTCTAAGGTTTTTCTTTGTTCATCAAACATCAAAACACATTTCAAAGATGGGTACAACACTGGTGAAACATCTACTCCAACATCTATTGTGAGCCAAAATGCTTCTGAAAGGAACAGCTATTGAGCAACCACAATTCTGAACCATTTTGAGCAACTCTGTGTAAGTCTGAGGCAATGTAACTAATGTCCCTAATCATGGAAGGATCAGCAACAAGAGAACCAAAAAATTCCTCAGAAACAAGAGTCTCCCCCACACCCTTCTAAGAAATAAAAGAACAATATTGTCTCCAGTTTGGATTGGGCCTTCCCGAAGTCCTTTTATATATCTCATAAACAATCAACTGAAGGCAACACTTTGTTCCTGTAGAAAAAAATGCCACCCACAGAATCAGTGAAGCTTACAAATTCCCACCCTCCCATCATGCCCACATGTTCCCCCGCCTTTACAAAGACTAGGCTAGTCAGACTGTGCTCCAGTGAGCTCTGGGCAGTGTCTCAGAGGTCATGTGAACTGATCTTGATAATGATGGTGTGTTTGGGGACAGGCAGATGTCTACAGGAAAGGGAGCAAAGAATGACCAGAGGGAATAAGCAGGCTCTAGGCCTGGGGCCCGAGGAGTTCAAGGCCTGCCTCATCAGCCTGCGCTACGACGTGGAGAAGGACCGGCAGGGTGATGCCGAGTTCAACCGCATCATGAGCCTGGTCGACCCCAACCACAGCGGCCTTCTGACCTTCCAAGCCTTCGTCGAGTTCATGTCTCGAGAGACCACTGACACGGACACAGCCGACCAGGTCATCGCCTCCTTCAAGGTCCTGGCAGGGGACAAGAACTTCATCACAGCCGAGGAGCTGCAGAGAGAGCTGCCCCCCGACCAGGCCGAGTACTGCATCGCCTGCATGGCGCCCTACCCGGGCCCTGATGCCGTGCCTGGTGCCCTCGACTACAAGTCCTTCTCCACTGCCCTGTATGGCAAGAGCGACCTGTGAGGGCCCCGAGACCCAGACCGAACACCCCCCACGGACTCCAGGAGGGGCCGCGGAAGCCCCACCGTCCTGTTCCTCCACTCCGTTAAAAAAAAAAAAAAAAAAAAAAGAGGGAAGGAGGGAAGAAAAGAGTAAATAAAATAAGTAAAAGTGACAGGACTTAGCCAAGTTATCCTGAATCAAGACATAACAAAGAAACCCATAGTTTAAAAAACAGAATTGCACAAGAGTAAAGCAGCATATCTTACCATAGAAATTTACTTTTTCTCTCTAAAGCATGAAGTAAAGAAAAAGACACAGAGTTTTTAATAAGAGTCAGAGAGCTTAGGTCAAAATCCTGCCCCTGTTACTAACTAGTTCTGGGTGATCTTGGGCAAGCTGCTTATCATCTGCACATTAAATAACGAACTCTAACCAGAGCGCTTACTGCTGACCGGCACACTGTAGCTATATACTCAAGAAATAGTATAGGGCCAGACAGGTGGCTCAGGCCTACGATCCCAGCACTTTGAAGGCCAAGACAGGAGGATCCCTTGAGTTTAGGAGTTCAAGACCAGCCTGGCCAACAGAGTGAGATCCCATCTCTATTAAAAAATAAAAACCTTAGGCCGGGCGCGGTGGCTCAAGCCTGTAATCCCAGCACTTTAGGAGGCCGAGGCGGGTGGATCATGAGGTCAAGAGATCGAGACCATCCTGGTCAACATGGTGAAACCCCGTCTCTACTAAAAACACAAAAAATTAACTGGGCATGGTGGCGCGTGCCTGCAATCCCAGCTACTCAGGAGGCTGAGACAGGAGAATTGCCTGAACCCAGGAGGCGGAGGTTGTGGTGAGCCGAGATCGCGCCATTGCACTCCAGCCTGGGTAACAAGAGTGAAGCTCCATCTCGGAAAAAATTAAAAACAAAAATAAAATTAAAACATTAAAAAAAAAAAGAAAGAAAGAAATTGTATGGAAAAGCGCAGGAGAAAGGAAATAACTTTCAGAACATTGTTCGTGTTCACTCATATTACCTGCTCCTCCCATGGCCTTTCCCATCTAAGGAAAGGCAGTAACTATGCACAATTGTTTAAGCCAAAATAGGGAATTCATCAGCTCCTCCCTTTGCACATATTTCCATTTCCAATCCATGAACAAGTACTACTGGTTTTAACTCTCAAAGATCTCCCCTAATCCAAATAAATCTCATCCCCTTTCTCTACATTTCTGGTGCCACCACCTTCCCAGGTGCAACCAATTGCTGACAGATCTTGCCTTCACTCTACTAGCTGTTCCAACAGAACAGCCACATGAATTTTTTAAATACTAAACCAAACATTTCCCCCACCTGCAGGAGAATCCAAAGTCTATAACACAACCCAAAAGAGAGGTTCCACATGATCCAGCCTAGACTTTCCTTTCCAACGTCGTCTCAGATCACGCTCCATCTTGTTCACCATACTCCAAGACCAATGGTCTTCTTTATTTTTCCAGAACCTAAATACAGGAATACCAAATGCTTGGAATCCTTAAACACCTGTTTTCTTCTTCCAAGCTTCAAATCTGAGCTCAAATTTGGGTCAGAGGAAGCTTCTCCATCACCCTACTAAAGTGCCTATGCCCATTACGGTCATATCATCCGGTTCATTTTTTTTCTGTGTGAAATTGTCTCATGGCCAGGTACAGCGGCTTATGCCTGTAATTCCAAAATTTTGGGAGGCCGAGGCAGGAAGATTGTCTGAGCTCAGGAGTTACAGATCAGCCTGATCAACAGAGTAAGACCTTGCCTCCAAAAAAACCAAGTCGAAAATAAATTAAATTAAATTATCTCAGGTATTCATTTGATCTTTTATTTGTCTCCTCACTGTGACCCCCACTGGATTGTAAGTTTTGTGCTGCACGGATTTTTTTCTTGTTCATACCATATCCCCAGGTCCTAGAACAATGCCTCGCATATCATAAGCCTTCAACTGATTGATTTTCATTCATTCTAGGCCAGGGGCCAATCTTTTGGCTTCTCTGAGCCACAATGGAAGAATTGCCTTAGGCCACGTATAAAATACACTAGCTAACAGCAACAATTGCTGATGAGTCAAAAAAATAAAATGGCAACAAAAATCGCATAATGTTTTAGGAATATTTGCAAATTTGCATGGGGCCACATTCAAAGCCATGCTGGGCCATATGCGGCCCACCAGCTTCAGCCTGAACAAACTTGTACTAGACAGATAAGAACCTTCTATGTTTAAAGGAAATCCAAATAAAAGACTATATTATGCAATCTACCTCGACGAGCTGTACCAGTGCCTTCAATTTCAGAAAACTATTTCTGTCATGTAACCCAAATCCCTTAAGGTACAATTTAAATTTTCAGTAAAGATAGTCACTTTTCCACTTTTCAAAGGCTAGCAATCTTTTATTTGTCTCTTGTCTTTTGTTTCACTTTTTAACCTCTTTTATTCACATCTTTTCTCTCAACTTCCACAAATATCTAGAAAGATTATAACCAAAATCAGTAGTAGATTTTGTGCATCAAAGCATCAGTCAATTTAAGAACAGCATCAAACTTCTGGTCACTATGAGTGCCAGCCATATTTTTATAATCCTGAGAAAGAAGTCAAAATTTAGTCATTTAACATGTCATGTCTATGTTGTTTGCTCACACTTTCTTACTAAGTATTGTGACCTCCACTTAAACCGCTTGCCATTTTTTTAACCTGGCCTGTTATTCAAAACAATATAATTTCTCAAAGCTGCTATTAGCTTTTGTTTCACTTTTTTCCCAGGAGACTTATTTTGTGTGAGAACTCTGGGCTTATATAACAAAGTACTTAAGCGCAGGAAGCACCACTTAAACCTATACCCTACAGGTAGATAAATGACCCCATTTAAAATTAGTTTCCTGTACCTAGTGTTATGGTTTGGATGTGCATTGTCCCAACAAAAATTCATGTTGAAATTTGATCCCAAATGTGGCAATACTGGGAGGTGGGTCCTAGCGAGAGGTATTTGGGTCATGGGAGTGGATCTCTTATGAACAGATTAATGCCCTCCCTGGGAGTGGGGGACTGAGTTCTCACTCTGGGGGTTGATAGAAGAGTCTAGCTCCCTCAGCTTCTCTCTCTTGATTCCTCTCTCACCGTGTGATCTTTTTTGCACAAAACTGCTCCCCTTACACTGTCCACCACAAATTGAAGCAGCCTTGAGGCCCTCACCCGATGCAGCTACCAAAGCTTGAACTTTACAGCTACCAGAATAATGAGCCAAGTGAACCTTGCTTTTTAAAGAAATTACCCAGTCTCAGGTATTCTCTTTTAGTAACACAAAATGGACTAAGACACCTAGCCTCAGGGTTTCCATTGTTACTTAGTGTACAATTATTGTGATTGACGGATCACAACATGACCTCCTAGTCTTTCAGCAAGCCATCATCACCTCTCACCATTAACTGCTCCTCTCTGTTCTCAGTGTGGATTAAAGAAACTGGCACCCTTTCTCTCTGCCAAATACCCTGATTATACCATCTCCCATTTCCTGTCTTCTTGATCCAAAAATTGACAAGAAATGAGGAAACCAAAAATACTTTGTAAATGTGCCAAAGCGTTGCAACAATTGAGAAACCCAGAATCTTTTGAATCATATCTTAGAGCTTTTAAAAAAAATTAATAATATGTAGGCTACAGAGAACAAGTTATCCAAAATCACTTTTAAAATTCAAATTAGTTGGCTGTATGGTAGCTCATGCCTGTAATCTTAGCACTTTGGGAGGCTGAGGTGGATGGATCACGAGATCAGAAGTTCAAGACCAGCACGGCCAATATGGTGAAACCCTATCTATACTAAAAAATACAAAAGTTAGCCTGGCGTGGTAGCCATGTCTATAGTCCCAGCTACTCAGGTGGCTGAAGCAGGAGAATCGCTGGAACCTGGGAGGCGAAGGTTGCAGTGAGCCAAGATAGCACCACTGCACTCCAGCCTGGGCAACAGAGTGAGACTTTGTCTCAAAAAGAAAAAAAAAATTAGTAAGTCAAAAAGCAGAAAATAAAAACTAGAACTTTCAGAAAGTCAAAGTTCATTTTTTTCTAGCAATCTTAAACATTCCGCTTTGAGGCTTTAGGAAATATTTATACACACCAAAAAGTCATCAATGTGAGGTTAACACATAAGAATTTTTAAATAACTGTACTTTCAGACTATCCATACCCTTTCCTTTAATCAATGCATACTATAAAGAAACATTAAAAATTGTACCTACCTTAGCCGGAGGAACTTTTCCAGCAGCTGTGATCTGACCAGTAAAAAAACGTCCAAAATGATTTGCTGCTAGGACAACAGCCTTATAACTTTAAAAATAAAGAAACAAATAGATAATTCCATAAAAGGAGAGATTTCAGGCTCACATATCATTATAAGTCATCAGTGAAGTTTCGTCAAAGAATAATAGCTAATATTTATATAGTATGTACTATGTGTCAAAAACAGTTCTAAGTGTTGTATATACACTTACTCCTTTAGCTTTCACAACAAGCCTACGGCTAGGTACAATTATTACCTTCATTCCATAGGTGAGAAAAATGAGATATAGAGAGATTGAGACTTGCCCAAGGTCACTCAGGTAGTAAATGTGAGAGCCAAAAGTCTAACACAAGCAGCCTGCCTACAGAGGCGCTCTCTTATCCCTTATGCTACCCAGCCTCTTCATAACAAGTACTATAGAACATAATAGAAAATATAATGAAAGAAAGATAGAAAAATACTAACACTGGTTTTCTTTGTGTGCTAAGACTATACATCCTTCACACTTACTTTACCATGTTGTCCAAATTTTCTTTGATGACTAGGTAGGGCTTAGGTAATGGGGGGGAAATCTTTAAAATAAATAAAATTAGCTTAGCCATAGGCTTGCACATAAGATTTTAGCCTCAGAGAACAGAAGAAACACTTCCCTTGATCTCTGATGGTTCAAAGTATGGGATTTTCAGACAGACTGACCTTAGATCAAGTCCTAGTTCGATGACTGATTA